CCAGGATGGTCTCGATCTCTTGACCTCGTGATCCACCCGCCTCGGCCTCCCAAAGTGCTGGGATTACAGGCTTGAGCCACCGCGCCCGGCCATATTAACCCACTTTCAAATGAATTCAAATTTTGCAAATGTGCCCTTACACATTAAAATCCCGACAATTTTAGTTCAGGTTTTCTCTATCCAGATGAGATACAAACAGTTGGCTCTCATTTTCACATGGCACATATGAAAAGATTCTTGTCTCTTGATATGAAGAAGTACCCACTGTCTATGGAGCTTTAGGAGTTAGGACCAAAACACAGTGAAATTTCTTCAATTCAGCTTGCTACATGCTCTTCTGTACTGTACACACCTGCTTTCCTGTTAGTCCATAATTACACTGAACAGTTTGAAAAGCAAGACACATAGTATCACTTAAAGAACCAAGATTTCTAGCTTGAGAGTCCAACTCTGCCTCTAGCTATGTTACTCTGGCTGTCAATTTCCCTTCTCTAGACTCATGTTTTCATCTCTAGGCTGAGAAGACAGTGCTAAGGTCTTGTCTGTCACTAAAATTCCGAGTCTCTTCATCGTCTCTAGTTCTGTCTCTGCAGCATTTCTGTAGCCCATTTGGTCACAGTAGCCCCACTTCTGCTACCCTTGCAACAACTCTTTGGAAATCCTTCAACCACTATTATATGCTCGTGTTCACAATAATGGTATGAAAGGAGTCAGACTATTCTATCGCTTCCAGGGGCTCCTTGGAATACTTTGCATGAATGATGTTCCACAAGCTTGCTGTGTTTTGGAGTTAGAGCTGCAAGAGACATAAGAAAACATATTGCTGAATCTTATTATTATACAAAGGGTACTCTTCCTATTCATCCTTCTTCAACCTCCATGCACCTGTTATCTTGCACTAGTGTTCCACAATTTTGCCCTTGGCTTTCTTCAAAATGCTTGAATATAAATGACTCTATGCTTAGTTAGTTGCTAGCATGAATAGCCTTCTGAATACCTAGCACAACTTGTTCAAGCATCTGTGATCTACCTGCTTCCAGAGACATTTTGGAAGTAGAGCTCATCTTCATGTCTCCTTCAGTTAACATCATGGCATAAAGTTTCTGGACAAAGAGTGAGGAAATGGAAGTCTAGGTGTAGCTGTCTGTCCTTAGGCGAAACTTATTACTTTTTTGAGACTCTTGAATGGAAGGATTGAAGGAGGCCTTTGCCAGCCAGTGACCAAGGACTGGTAAAACTATTTTGTGAATCAACTAATGGATTGACTCAGACCTTCTTACCGGGAAGGACATAGCTGGGCCCTTCTCTGGGGAAGTCAACATTTTATTGTTTTATTTCACCTCAAGAACCTAATACTATGTGAGAGAGACCCAAGTCCCCACGTATATCACTTCTCTGCCAAAACAGAGTGTGGCAGGGGCTGGAGCTGAGACATTTCACGCCTGGCTTCCAAAGATAATCACGTTTAGCACTTATGTCTTTGGCAAGGAAAAAAAATCAATTTTTGCTGTGGAAAACCATCTGTGTTTATTCAATTGACAGACACTACCTTTCAATCTATCTTAAATTGAGCCTCCCTGAGGCAGGCAGCTCAACAGTGATAGATTAAGCAATAAACAAAGCAGTCTTCCCACCAACGGCTGCTGCTGGCAGGGAAGGTGCAGCTGCTATTGGGAGTGATATTCATTAGCAAGATGATCCTCCCTGCTTAGTGCAGACAGGGCCCCTCCCTGTTGTTGATTTGATGATTCTCCATAAATGTGGATGGCTAAACCCTGTTCTTCTGACTGCCTTTACTCTCGCACTGAACCTACCTTCTGCCTCATTAACAAGCTCTGGATTTCCCTCTTTGTCCACAAACAATTTGGTTTCATCTGGGAGGATGGAGAACCCTTAGGTAAATAAACTGTTTAGGGGCTGCTGCAGATGAACCAGGATCATCTTGTTATGAAAATGCACTGAACAGAAGTAAATAAACTTGACGATAGCACATGAGCATCCTTGCGTTGTAAAGTCTTCATTTATGTCAAAAGTAGCAGTTGGTTATTGGCTTCAGAGTGTTTTCATGCATCAAATAACTTCTGGTAATAGAGATTAACTTTGTTTGGGGAGTACACAATGAATGGCATCATCTGTGGACGAAAAGGTGACTAAGTCACTTTTCCTGGAAGCCAGCTAGAAACCTTCACCCTGGAAAGCTGACTGTATGGGAGTTGAATGAATAGCCATCCACTTGTATCGTGGTGAGATGCGAAGCATGCAAACTTTCTTGCCATTTGTGCTCTTCGCATCCACAACAGAAGGTAGCTGTTGTTAGAGAGTAGCTTAGAATTATCCCTGGGTTTCTGGGAAAATGAAGCACATTTTGTGCATTTGTCTAATTTTTGGCTGCATTTTCATGAATGGATTAACAGCTGAAAACAAGGAATTCTTTTACTTTCATGGGACTAGGCTTTGTGCACACTGTTGGATGAAACCAAGGCTTAACAAGCTCTACTTTGTTCTGTATCTGGACTGTCATTTCTCCCAGCCCACACCCAAACATACACTCCCCAAACACAAACACACAACAATTTCAATGTCACATAATCTCTTACTGTAATTTTGGCCTTCAGAGACACCCATTGTTAGGTTGCAGAGGACCAAGCATTAAGTCCAGCTGAATATATTCAGAGCAATCAACAAATAACACACTGAGAACAGACTTTTCTCTTATGAGACTTCACATTAGAAATTCATTCAGCAGAATTTATCTAAATTTTTAAAAAGCTTCAATGTTGCACATATGTTAAATTTAAGAACCCCTGGGTCAGAATATTACTGTGGAATCATGTCCATGACTAATTTTTTAAAAACTTTGCATTTACATAGTGTTCATGGTCTATAAAGTACTTTTATATTTATTACCTTATTTCATCCAAGCCTTCCCTGCTGGCCAAAGAGCCTTTACTATGGAAATGTAACCATCTACCATTACATTAAAAGGCCCATGGAACTATGAGGCTGAAACATGAAACTGTTGAGACTGGACCATTTTTGAACTGCAAAAAGGCAATTTCATCTGGTTCAGCTTAATCTGATTTCATATTGTTTCGAGGTGAACTAACTGTACTTCATTCCCATGGGCTATTCGGTGATACTGAAGAATAATGCTCATCATCACTTCTCCAGTTTACGGGATAGTCTCTTGTCCCCAAAGCGAATCTGTTTAACTTGGCACAAGGGAGAGGACAGGGTCATTGTTGGCTGCCCCAGGAGAGACATACTGGTGGACACAACATTAAATGTCACAATGAAATGGAAGGCTAAGACAAAGAAGGGTAGGATCCTTGGTAGCAAAAACGTTGGCCATGAAATACATCAAATTTAACCAAAACCTGAATGGAGTGTTGTGGCTCTGGAAGTGCTAGAAAGGAAGGGGCTCAACTTCACCAAACACTGACAATATGCCAAGTCCAGTGCTGGGCACATGAAGCTGTGGCAGGGAGATTACTTACTGATCCTCAAGTCACATGGGGAAGTTGAGTGGCAGAGTTTAAGTGTGGTCCTGATCTCTCTATGTCCGTGTCCATTCCACTGCTTAGCATTGCTTCCAAAATCCAACCTGTGTGAAAAATTAAGTTCACAGTACTTAGTAGAAAACTCCACTCTCTAGATTTTGTCCAGAGGCCTGAACTAGTGATAAAATCAAAAAAATGTATGCAAAGAACATTGAGGCACATAGTTTAAGGAATTGCTGAGGGCAGAAGCTGAAATGCAGCACAAAGTGGGTGAGTAGGAAAGTCCCTTAGGTCAGTTGTTTGCACCCTCCTCCTCCCCTACTCAGAGACACAATTCAGCTGCAACTGGAAGCTCTGGGAAGAATTTCCCACCTGGTTCTGTGTCTGAGGAGAGAAAAAACTTGCCAAGGACCAACTTAGAAGATCCAAAATGAGAACAGCGAATCTACCCATCTTTCTTTGAATCAGAATTAGTTGGAGAAAAAGTGTCAGGCAGAGGTAGAACCACTTAAGCCCCCATTTTCCCCAAAATAGAGTAAGATATGACAATGGTTGATTTCCTAGTCTGGTGACCTAGGCCACATAAATAGCCTCTAACAGAAAAATATCTCCTGGACTAAGGGGCCAGATAAGAAACTCAGATATGGACTTGTATCTGAGTGCCTAGCTCTAGATCCTCTGTTCTAAACACAGACACACTGTCTCTGCACTCTCTGAACTAACATTTTTATAAGATAAGATTATTTTCCTTTTTCCCCCAAATTGAAAATTCACTCGCAGAGTCATATAATGACATGAAAGGACTCACATAATTTTACGATCTTTTAAAAGAATCATTTTAATGGTCAGTAAAACCTCATACATTCAAGGCCTCATTAACTCCTAGACAAGCTTAAAAATGTTGGTATAACTCAGAAATTCAGTGTTGAAGGTACATTATATAATTTGAACCTGTTGTGAATCCAGATTTTCATCACTTTGCTTCCATTTTAGCTAATGACATTAATAATACATGTACAACATTAAGGAAGTAACACTGATTATCTTCTAAAAAGTTTTCTTTTTTCTGCAATTTGGACTTTACTGATTCGAACATGACCTTTTTTGCATTCAAGTCAGCAGGGTTTGGGGTAATAAAATTTGTAAAACGGTCAATTCGGTGAGTTGTAAAAATAAATGGCACAAACTTCTTTAATGTCATTTTATGTTTTGTTTTAAATATTAGACTCATATTTCATAAATTATAATTGTATTTGCTACTATTAACTGTAAATATTTATTGCATTGAAAAATGTACTCTGTGTTAAATAACT